GAAGTATAATTGTTATATTAATATTGAGGTATGTGTATCTATTTGTATGATCAAATATATCCACAAATAAATCTATAATAGCCATGATCGCACTATAATACAATTTGAATACCAAGAAGATGAGATCAAACAATATTTGGATGCAAAATAAATTAGAAATTTGGAGGCTACTTAGAGACTTTTTGGCATGTGGATCCATGAAGAAATGCCAAATATTGTTTGATTAGCCATTAATCTTCTAACAATGCAACAAGTAGTATATAATCCAAATGACGAGGCAGTTGCAATTTTAAAACATGTTAAAAGACAAAAGATAATATTAACTTCATTTTTTGAGACATGTACAACAATTGCAATGGCAAGACAATATATATACCAACAATTTCTATAACATTTTGTTTGGCATAAGACGAGAAGGATATAGATATTAAAAAAATGTGGATTTACTATTAGAAGATCATTTTTTATAAATCTTATAATAGAAGAAAGATATTATTTGAGGCTTCTATTAATCCACATTAAAGATCTATAATCATTTGAGCACTTAAAGACTGTTTATGGAATCTCTTATTCAACATTTAAAAGTGCATGTATAGCTTTAGGATTGCTTGAAGATGATAGAAAATAGCAACAATATTTGGAAGACGCATCAAGAATACAAACTAGATTTCAATTGAGGGTATTATTTGTTATTTTGCTATTATACGTAAATCTACTAAATCCATTAAATCTATAGGAAAGATTTTGGAAAAGCATCTTGGGTGATTTCAATAGCCATTTATAAAGAGAATATAGAATTAGTAATCCAATAGAAGAACAGATTAAGGATTTTGGACTTTTCTTATTAGATAAGATTTTATAAGACTCCAATAGAATACTTGCACAATTTCTTCCAATGCCATTATCAAGAAACAATTGGAATCCAATAGTTAATGAAAATTGATTTATTGCTAAAAAAACATAAGACATTCAATAATTAGAAGCAAATTTGAAATAGTATGTTCTACGATTAAATCTAGAAGAAAGAAAGGCATATGATGATATTGTAGCTTTTATAATAAAAGAACATGGACTCATGTTTTTTTTAAATGGACTTGTATGAACTCATAAGCCATTTGTCTACTATACTTTGGCAACTAAAGTTCGATTGATGCAAAAGATTATCATATGTGTTGCATCATCAGGAATCACCACATTATTACTTGAAGAAGGAAGAACCACCTATTTTACATTCAAGATTCCAATAGATTGTAATGAAGACTCTTTTTATTTAATTACTAAGAATTTTGACCATGCTAAGTTTATTTGCCAAACTTTGCTTATTATTTAGAATGAACTTCCAATGCAACATAGTTATTATTTTGAGGAAGTTGATTGTTCTTTTAGAAATATTTGGGATATTAATTGCCCATTTAGAGGAGCTACAATAGTATTTGGTCAAGATTTTTGCTAGTAATTGTAAGAGAAACTCAAGAAGATATTGTAGCAGAAACTTTTTAACATTCAATATTTTGGCCTAAAATAAAAATTTATATATTATAAGAGAATATGAAATTGAACTTATGAGTACTTTAAGTAGATATTGAATTTATCAATTGGCTTCTTCAGGTATAGAATGCACATATTTATTATATATATAAATGATAGTCCATTTGAATTTTTTATGGTTGCATAATCATTGACTAATATTTCTATTTGCCATTTACCAAATTGAAAACAGTACAAACTTATTGCTCAATAATGTAGTTAAGCTTTTTAATCACATGATTGTTAATAAAAAATTAATGTCTTTAGTTTATGTTGTTTACTTAAGATTGGTAGAAGATAATATAGCAAATAATACCTTCTTTAGAGATAGAATCATTTTATCCGCATGCAATGATGATATAGAAGATATTAATGACAAAGTTATAGCTATATTTTTCAAAGATAAATAAGAATATTTGAATGTTGATGAAGTTATCATTGAAGATGGTATCGACAAGAATAATGTTTATCTAGTCAAATTCATTAAGTCACTTGATCCATCTGAAATGCCCAAATCAAAGCTTTGTCTTAAGATTGAGACTCCAATGATACTACTAAGAAATATTGCTCCTTATTAAGGACTTTGCAATAGAATCCAATTGGTAATTATACGACTAATGGATTAAGTTCTTGATGCAAGAATTCTTAGAGGAAAATTTGTTGGAAACTTGGTATTTATTCTATGGATTACATTAATTTCTACAAGAAAAGAACTTCTAATTATTCTAAAAAGAAAGTAATTTCTAAATTTTCTTATATTTATAATAATAATAAATAAATTTCAAAGATAATTAATGAAGTATGTTGGTTTGGATCTATGACAACCTATTTTTCTACATGGTCAACTTTATATAGCATTCTCTCAATGCACTTCCTCTTATTCTATTATGATTCTTCTTCTTAAAAATGATAATTTAAATTCTATGTTGAATATTATTTTTTCACAAGTTTTAATTAGATAAATATTAGTAATTTATTTTTTATATTTTGAATTTTAATTTATTTATATATTTACTTTTTTATATCTTTAAATATCTAATTATACTTTTTTAAATATAATTTAATATTTTTTGAAACTAAATTAACTATTATTTTGTATATTATCTATAATAAAGATATGGGTTTACTTATCCTACTTCATACATGAAAGCTCCATTATGTATTTTATTTATTTTTATTTATATTTTAATTGATCTTGAAAAACATTCTTTGGATCACAAAAATAGCTTCATTTGAATCACACTTTCTCTGACAATGATATGGGTTCATCTAATCTAAATGCATTATATGTATATATATATATATATATATATATAAATTTTTTATTGATATAATTTTATAAAATATTAATAATTTAAAATTAAAAAATATAATAAATAATATATTTTAAAAAAATAACTAGTAAAAAAATGATTTTCAATCTTTCTTAAAAATATAAAAATTGTACATATCAAAAAACAAAAACAAACATACAAAAATCCAAAATAATCAAGTTTACTTATTTGAATGAAAATTTCAATTGCATTAACAAAGTTACATATTTTACATCATTTGCCTCTGTTGCTATTATTTCAATTTACATTTTTGCATCATATACTTAACATATTATGTGTATGGAATTAATATAAAAAGAAAAAAAATATATGTTTTTTCTTTTCTTGAATAATAGAGTCTTTGCATAAACATTGATATTGACCTGTATATTTTTACATATTAACAACACGCTTTAAGTATTATACATGAGATAGAAAATATGCATCAAATGCAAGTGATAATTAATTAGTTAGATCATAATATTTACTTATTTTTTCATTGAGAAAAAAAATATATTTACTTATAGACACACACACACATATATATATATATATATATATATCACAGTAAAATCAGAAAACAACTAAAAATGGGAAATAAATGTTGCATTAGCATTCTTTAAAAATAAGCCTTATTATCTTGCATAAAAGTATTAACAACATGAACAAAAAAAATAAAAATAACTTGCACAACCGTATACACCACACTCAATATCTAAAGTGGGTAGGCTGGTGAAAAAAATGCTTACTGAAACTTTTATGCCATTCTCTCAAAACGATAGAAAAAGTAAAAATAGTATACAATTTAATTTGGTGATAAACGTAACTCAAATACAATATCCTATAATTGTACTGAAATTAAACAGACAATGACAAACTCCCCACAAAAATGAGAAAACACAACAATAACAACACATACAACACTTACTTTACATGTGAAATATTAACAATAATATTGCATGTAAAATAATAACAAGAATAAGAGAAAACTTTTTATCTTCTAAAAAAATATGATGAAATAGAAAAAAACAAGCATAGGTCTCACTATGTTCTCTCTACAATATTGAAGCAACGAATCAACCAAACTCAAATTCAGAGCCAACAAACTTTTTGCTTTCTTCAGTAGGACACAAGTTCCACTATTACTCAGGTAAATTCGAGATACCCAAGCGTCGCAAAAGAGCAATGTCATTCCCTAAAAACACAACTTAGAACTGTAGCTGGGGCTCGATTCTCAAACACACAAACACCAAAATCTGACTAACTACTTCGCAATCTCACAGACCGAGCCCATTACAATAACAAACAACGACAAAAATGCCAATGTGACGTGTTCCAAAGCGACAGCACATCATTCGAAACCGTCATACATAACATCAATTTCCTCCCAAAGCACGACCAATATGGTATCAAAATTACACCTCTACTTCTAGCCGAACAAACCGCTGCAGCTGACACAATCAGCTTATGAAACAAAACTAACAGAGCCACTAATCGATCGACAACCACAAAGCATGCCCACCCACAAAAAGCATGACGGAACCCAGAAGCTTCCAAGATAAAAGCCCGGGTAGAAGCCAGACGAGGCGGTAGGAGCCCACTAGGGTCGCCAGGACTGGGGGGGGGAGGGGGGGGGGGAGGGGGGGGAGAGGATTTGGCACCAAGGCAAGCCAAAGCCATAGCACTCAATCGCAAAAGGAGCCACAACCCTTCCCTGCTCACACCCGGGCCTCCTCCCGTGCGCCGAGGCTTTTGCGTGTTCCTTGTTGCGACCTCTCGTTCTCCGTGTTTCGTTAGCAGCAGCAGCAGCAGTTATTGTGTCGGTCGTGATCCGGAGTCGGGGTTTCGCGGTGCGTTGCTCGTAGCGGCAGATCGGAGCGGGCTGAGGGCGGAAGGCAGCAGGTCGCGAGAGCGCCGATCCGGACGACACGATGAATCCCGAATAGTGAGTTGCTCGTTTTCCCTGGGCGCGTGTTTGTGCCTGCGTTTGTCTTGTACTTTGTCTCGTTTTGTGCTGTGATGTGCTGTGTGTTGTGTTTGTGTGTGTGCGCGCGTATTTATTTATTTATTTATTTCCTTTCTTTCTTTCTTTTTTTCTTTCTTTCTTTCTTCTTCTTCGTCCTTTTTCCCTTTCGGTCTGGGGGCGGTGCAGGTGGTATGGTTTTTCGATTGGATTTTTGTGGTAGTTCGGGGTGGGAGGGAGAGTGAGGTAGGGTTGGGGCGTGGTGCACGTGGTCGGAGCGGATCGTTGCCGAGTCGGGAAGTGTGCGGGCATAGAGAATTTTGGTTTGCCTTGGTGGCTCTCGTAGACCTGCAGATCAATGGGTGGTGTTGGCGGTGATGATGATGATGATGCATGGGAATCCGAAGGTCTGGACGGCCTTTGGTAGTGGTGCTGGGAAAGGGGATTTCGGGTCGGATTAGGGAGTGGAGTCGGTGCAGCATGTGAGGAGGTGGATGGTAGAGCTACTTGCGATTGAGCGGGGACATACGAGTGTGGAAACCGGAAGCGTGGATGTGGCACGCCACATGTTTGAGCGGGCAGAACGATGAAAGATGCATGCATGATGTGAGCATGACGGAGCAATCCTTTTGTACACTTTATCGAGTGATTTGTGTGACAGCGACGTGGTCGTTATCAACCTGTTGAAGTTCCTCCTGATAGTCCGTGTAACTGAGAGCAGAAAATTGTGAAGGTCTTCTGAAGCGTGTTTTGGCGTTAGGTTTTTACGTTGGCGTTTGCTTTGACCTCTGCTGCGTGCGACGTGAGGCAGCCTCAGTTGATCTTGAACACACACACACACACACACACACATATATATATATATATATATATATATATATATACATAATTTGTTGGTCGGTGATTTGTGTGAAAGCTTGCAGACCTTTGAGACTTGTTCGACCGTAGTCGGTCTGATTAGGAGAGCCAGAGGAGGTGTCGAGAATTGTCGTGGTGATGTATTTGCATGCCGTAGCTCGATAAGGACAATTGTGACCTTGTGGTTCACGTAGCGTGAGAACCCTGATTCGCTGTATGCAGCTGACATAAATGGGATGACGCATGGATGATGTTTTGCAGTGACTACCTTTTTAAGCTTTTGCTGATTGGAGATTCTGGTGTGGGAAAGAGTTGCCTTCTTCTCCGATTTGCGGTATTCTCCTATACCTTTATTCTTCTTTTGCACATGTTATAGATCACTGCATCTAAGCTCTGAGACAGCCACTGGATGGCGATTGATATTCTATTGGAGCGGTATACTGAGGTGTATGCTTAGCCAGGGTTTAACGGTTTTTGGGTTTGGTTCTATGTAGATCAATTGCATTTCTTGAATCAGAATACTTTATGTGTTAATTTTTATGCCCCAGCGTTTGGGATGAAATGATGAGAAGGATTGCAATGTGAACGTAGTAGGTGTGAGAGGTATTTTGAGTTGGATTTACGAGAAATGTGAATTTTGATGTGTAGGACGACTCATACCTGGAGAGTTACATCAGCACAATTGGTGTCGACTTTGTGAGTAACCACATGCACTACCAGTGTGGCATGTTGAGATATTGAATGACCTGGAGGCTTTTGATTTACATGTGAAATGAAGCTTACTGTTGTGGTGGAGATTCGCCAATTTGGAGGTGTTCGAAGTTCATACTCACAGTAATTCATGTACTGAGTGAAAGCAATTGTGTGTTGCAGAAAATACGTACAGTGGAGCTTGACGGAAAGACTATCAAGTTGCAGATTGTGAGTTTATTTATTTATTTATTTATTTATTTTTGGATTCTAATGTGATCAATCGTTTCCTCAGTAGTGAAGAATGCAGGTTGCAAGAACTGGGTATTGTACTTGTATACCACGTGCAGATTTTGATGTGGATTATTTTGTATGTGAGACGTGTTTTGCTTGGGAACCTAGCACTTGTACGTTGATGGGATTTGTGTTCACCTTTTAGATGACGCATGACTGAATTTTGTGCAGCTCCATATTAGGTGGGGGTCATTGTTAAATGTATTTCCTTTGTTGTTGGTCATCTTCTGACTGGTGCCGACGTGGTGGGTGCAGTGGGATACCGCTGGTCAGGAGAGGTTCCGGACCATCACAAGTAGCTACTATCGTGGAGCCCACGGAATCATTGTGAGAAATAATCCGGATACGTTTGTGCACGTGGTTGTCTGTTGCATCTAACACCTCTCTGGATGGGGCTGAGTTTGATTCAATTCTTAGGACTTGACTGATTGAAGTCTGAACGTCCATAAGGATATCTCGCTGCATTTGGTTGAATCCCGCTCTTGAGAGACTCTGCTGAACAGTCTCTTGGCTTGTGGCAACGATTTTGTAGATGGTCATGTCAATGGATGGCTTATATGGAGCAAACGGGACATATCTCGGTCTTACTTGGATTCGGATTCTGACAAAGTCTCGTATTTGTTATTGATTGCAGGTTGTTTATGATGTGACAGACCAAGAGAGCTTCAACAACGTGAAGCAATGGTTGAACGAAATTGATCGATACGCCAGCGAGAACGTAAACAAGCTTCTCGTGGGCAACAAATCAGATCTTGCTTCGAAGAAGGTGGTGGATTATGAAACCGCTAAGGTGTGTGAAGCGAAAACCGAGGCGATGTTTTCCATGCATGGGAAGATAGTGATGTTGTAGGTTGGATTTAGCTGTGTGTTTTCCATCGTTGGTGGTGATTTGTCCTTTAATGGGAGTTACTTGGTTTGATGTCTATTTCGTTGATGGAGGCTCGACACCTCTGTAGTTGTGGAGAGGTAGAGGCTTATCGGTTCGTTATTTTTGGGCAGGCATTTGCCGATGAGATTGGAATTCCTTTCTTAGAAACAAGTGCAAAGAATGCTACCAACGTGGAGCAAGCTTTCATGACCATGGCAGCTGAGATCAAGAACAGGTGAGCATCTCTGCATGTATTTACTACCTTGTGTTCATCATATCCCAAACGTAGGAAGCAGTAGAACTTAGAACTTTATGAATGTTACGTGTGTTGAGGTTGCAGTAGCAATGCAGAGTCGTTGGTAGACCGTGACGCCTTTTGGTTTGAGATAGATTGTGATGATGAGGAGCGACGTGTAGTAAGTCCGGTGTGTTGGGTTGTTGCAGGATGGCCAGTCAGCCCGCGTTGAGCAGTACCAGCAAGCCCAACAACGTGACAAACCTGCGAGGACAGGCTATTCCCCAGAAGAGTGGATGCTGCTCATAGGCCACCTCTGATGGCATGCAGCTGGCACCACAGCAGTTTGTCACGAAGATCCTTTGTTGGTCTAATTAGCAGACTCTGGGATGTCTACTTGCTGTGGCCTGGTGCTGCATGAGGGTTGCTGAAGTCTTCTAGGGTGGTAACAAGAGCAGGAATTGGGGGCGCAGCGTTTAGTTGTGCGCTGCCTGGAAGATAATGTCTGGACTGTGCTCTTCATTGAGCAAGAATTGTTTGAACCATTTAAGGTGTCCGAGGTCCATTGCAGCTAAGGATAGGGAACTTGCAGGGTACACATAAGGGAGTGCATTTCCTTGTGTGCATTCGAACTATTGTAAAGTGGGGACAGAGTAGGCAGGTGTATGTGGGCGTCGTTGTATGTAATACCATGGTTAGGTATTTGCTGACTGGAAAGAGGGGATGGATGTGAAGTATCCTGACAGTGCAACATGGCCAGTTGACCCTTTCTGTTTAGAAAATGTGATGGGTCAATGATTTTTCAGCAGTAACCCACATTGTTTTTCAAGTGATTCATGTGTAGTAATTTCATAAGTTTCGTATACATGAAAGAAGTGCGTATTTTTGCATCACCCCTTGCATTAAGATCCTTTGGACTGCCGTTGTGAGCCAAACTTCTGTCGTCGAAGTTTGAACAAATGAATTACGGATTTGTTCTTATTGGTGATGGCTTGCTGATAGATATCCACTCCTTCAATGTGGAGTGTGCATGGTAAATTAGAAGAGCATGGCTTACGGCGATTGCTTCTTTCAAGGTGCACATGACATTACAAAACAATATGAGGATTGTCAAGGTCCACTGGAGAAATCAACAGTTGGCAACAAGTTATACATGCATTTTTGTGACCTTGAGATTAGTCTTCCCAAGGGATTTTTTACTAGCATTTGGATTATCGTACACCATGCTGCAAGTTGATATGGTTGTTTTCAGGGATTACATTGAGGGGATTACAGAGAGAAAAATTATTAAGCATTTAAAGTTTCCAACATATGTGTCCTTCTCTTCTAAAAATAAGCCAACACATAAATAGAGTTATGGACTGTTGTTGTTAAAGTATGTTTTGTTCTAATTCTTAGCTTTAGAATCCTTGTATTACATTTTTTTACCTAGCGTGGAGTTCGAAATTGCGGCAGTAGTGTTGATGTTGTTTGTTTTTTGTTTTCTTTTTTTCTTTTTTTGATTCGTGTGCCTGTGTTTTTTGATGGTGGTTTGATTTCTTTATTACAGTGTGTAGGTTTTAGGTTGAATTCTAATAGTAACGGAATTGTTACATTAGTTGAAATTATAATGCAGATTGCAAGATTCCAAGGTGTGGTTCAAATATTGCTATTTTGTGGCTTGAGGGTTTCTCAAGTCTTCTTTGTAATAATAGTGGTACCATTTTGAAGTTTCATTGATGCATAAGAGTAATTATTTTGAAGTTTTAATTTCATAGGTTTTAAAAGTTTAGCATTTTTATTTGAATATATATATATATATATATATATATTGATGTGCATTTTTGTTGAATTTTAGGCATGAAGAAATATATCTATATAGTTGTTTTTGTAATTGATTGGCTTTTGCCAAATACTAATAATTAGTAGAATATTTAAACTAAACTAGATAGTAAGAAAGATGTAGATTGAATTGACAATGGTCTTAACCTTGCCTCCATATATATTAGCAAAGTAAAATGCCATGTTGAAGCTTTCTATGAATTATAAAGCTTGTAAGCCTAGTGTCTCAATTATGTGTTGCTTCTATAATATCTTTTTGAAGTTAGAAAATATTACAATGAAGTTACTATAAGCACATGGCATATTTAGAAGAATTTGTATATTTATTCTAAGTCTAAGAAGCATTTTAAATATGACTTTTGGAAGAAATTAACAATCTAAGTTATTACTACATATTTATATTATTTTTATATATTTTATCAATATATGAATTCAATACATTTCTCTATTTTCTTGCATAGATGAATTTTGCAAAATAAGCTGAAGTTACTTCACAAATTGATGGAGCCTAAAATCTATCAAATCATATTTATATAAATACCGACCTATACTTTAGATAGAGTTATTTGATAGATCGTTTTAATATTTAATAATAATCTATATTTAAACATTAAGAACCTCTAACTATTTAATCAATTTAAAAAAGGTTTATAACTATCTTCTTATGAATCAATTAAATTATTGTTATATGTATTATATACCTCTAATAGTATTTACAAATACAAAGATTTTTTTCTAAAGCTATAGTACCACTCATGTTTTATTATTCTATTTATTTGAAGAAAGACATGTCCTTGCTAAAAATCCTCACTTCAAGTTTCACATTGTGAGGATTAAAACTGATTAAAATAAATCTATTGATTATTGGATTTTATTTTATTGTACTAAAATTTACAGTTTTTAAAAATATAAATGTATAAAAAATTATTCTAATAATATATATATATATATATATATATATATATAATTTTATAATTAATAGTTGATCTTTGGTTTGAATTGATATCTTTGAAAAATGTTAAATCTATTTCTAGTGCATTGATAAGATTTTTAGATAGTTGCTATATGTATTGATTTATATCATATTTATACTAATATAAAAGGCAATTTATTTTTTAAAAAAATTATGAAAAATCCAAGGTTTCTTTTATTTTAAATTTTTTATTGTCATTATCATAGGCACAAATCTAGACAAATAAAAAAAAAAAAATACTTTTTTTTAATTAAAAAGTATGTAAAAAAAAAAGAAATAGTTATAAGTTTGAAAAGATCTAAAATGGCTATTGCCATATACAATGAAATTGGAGAGTCTTGAACCACAACTAAAACACAAGAAAGGTATTAAAAAGACTAAGAATGATCTCAATCTTCTCTTTATATACATTAAATACAATGAAGGTCTTGTAGAAGCTTCTTAGAAATGGCTAGGCTTAAGACCTAAGTGTCAAGTTGTAAGTTGCTTCTAATGCAAATTCTTCAAAGTACAAAACTTATGTGATAAATTTCAATAGTTACATGGTATATCTAAAAAAGTTTAAATATCTATTTGGCATCTAGAAAACTTCAACAAATTTTCTTAATAAAGTTATTATTTTTTTAACATAGTTCTATTTAATTCTAGTTATTTCTATTCACTTGAATCAAAAGAAACACTATTGGATTTATTCCCTCTTCTAAACAAGAAGTCCTATGAGAAGCATTCAATTTGCTTTATAAATTGATGAGGTCCAAGCTTTTTTAGATTGTATTAGCAACAAGTTCTTCTCTATGTTTTACAAGGTGGTAGATAGCTCCCTTCAACCATTGATAATGTTCCATGTCAAGGTAAGAAGACCACCAATAAAATTACTAATTTTTCAAGTCTCTTCTAAGATTGTTGTACTAAATACACTCTATCTAGTGATTTGTTGGAAGAAGACCTATATTTCTTAAGAATCTTTATTACAATTTTGATGTCATTTAAGTTGACACAATCCAAGTGCTTTATTTGACAATTTTACATATGACGATTCTTGAGATGAATTTTTTAACTATTGGTTCCAATGTAGTCACCATGTATACAAATCACAAGAATTTTGAGTATTTCATATCAGTTTGTCTTTTGAATAATCGCTATTTTTAATGTAATGCATTAACAATCTCCAATGCATCTATAAGATTATTGGATGCCTTGTTTTTGATTCATTAATATCATATTTATGATAATGTATAAGATGTATCAATTTTTGTAATGATTGCCTTGAATTTAAGACTATATGTACTTTAAATTCTTATTGTTATGTATTTGAAAAAGACTTGATGGTATTTGATTTCTTATTAGTGTATTAATTAGGATATAATATTTAGTAATAGCTATCTATTATAGATAATTAATTTTTATTAAAAATAATAATTATAATAGATATGCAATTATACTAATATTTTTTTGATAATAAATAGAAAAGGTCTTATAATTTTTTTCTTACAAAATTATTTTGAATTAATATTATAATAGAGTAATCTGTCAATGACATGACTTGGAAGAAGATACATAAATGTGAAAAATCTGTATTAAGAGAAAAGTGACAAATTAGCAATAAAATAGTATGTATATTAAAACAAGACTAGAATGGCTATAGGTATAAGACAAAAAAATTAGAGACTCTTTAATCTAATCTAGAAGCAAGAAAGGAGTTGACAAGAATGAAGAGGGCTTCACTCTTCTCTCTATATATACTATTCAACTAGGAGTTATGTGGCGATGTTCTATAGGACCTCTAATATGTATTGACATTGTAGGACACATGCCTTAGCTTATAAGGTAAGTTTTCTATGTAAGGGCCTCATAGTTAGCTTATTCTTCTAGCTACCAACATGTGTGGGACATGGCAAACTTATGGACTAGATTTTTAACCTAAAATGTCAATCAAAGATACTTATAAAGTGAAAGCAGCATCTATGAAGCTTTTAAGAAGTTTTTATAAAAGCTATTATGGAATTAATCTATTTTTACCTACTTTTATCTAAATCATATAGATAATTATTGGTTTACATGTGTATGTCTTTGACATTATTCTCGCCTTCTAGAGACAATTTTCACAAGAAGCAGTCTTCACATATTGAGGAAATCTAAGATGTGGCAAATTGTATTTGCGACATATTCTAAACTTTGTTTGCTTTGAAGATAGTTGATAGGTCCTCTTTGCCATTGATAGTGTTCCATACTAGGGTGAGAAGACCACCCTATTATTTAATCATTTTTGAGGTCTTTATAACTTCTTTCAAATAAAATATTTGGAACATCGTGAGGAATTGTTCTTACTTCCAATAAAATCACTAAACATTGGAAGTCCCTTCCAAAGACATGATACCAAATAATTTGTATCTCGCCATCTATTTGAGGAAAGACACGTCATTCTTAAGGATCTTCATCTCGATTTTGTGATCTTGAAAGTTGGTACAATCGTAATGTCTCATTTAATAAGTTTGCAAAGAAAAGCTCTTGAGTTGAATCTATTAGTTGTTGGTTTTCCATCTCTTTAATGTTACAAATACTTAGAAGCTATAAAGTAAGATAGAAGGTAGAATGCAATCTTTCCTGGACCTTGTTTGTTTTATACCAAAGACTTATTATTCTTCATCTTGTTTTAGATGGATGTTGTTGATGAAAAGCCTCCATTGCCTTTGCTGCATTTGCATGATTTTTTATTGGCTCCCATGTGGGTTCACTAATATCATATTCGCACCAATGTGCAAGATATTCTAATTTATTTTGGCATTGCCTTCAGTCTAAAACTTCTTCCACTTCAAACTCTTTATTATTGTCCACTTCTTTAAGAAGAAGTGGAGTTTGTTGTCTTCTTGTTATGTTCATAGTCTTGTATGGTTCAAGAAGAGATATATAGAAGATAAGATGGATCTTCATTGCCTCTAATAGATGTAATCAATAAGAAACTCGATTGATTTGTCCACAAATAAGAAAAGTTTCAAGCTTGTGGTAGTCAAACTTACTACAAAGACAAGTAGTCTTGATATTACAACAAAGCAACCCTACCTTGTCATCTACATTAAATTGTGATTATTCTTTTCAATA